GAAGGCCACTACTGACGTTGCAGAAATTGTTCACAGTACTCAGATCTTTCTTGAGTCACTCAAAGGACATGCTGATACCAGTGCAGCCAAGGTGAATGCCTCTGTGGATTCCTTATCCAAGTCCATTCAAGCGGAGCAAAAAAAGTTTGAGGCTGTTCGTTCTTCAATACAAGCAGAGAACACTTCACTTATCAGTTCTGTGAATTCTCGGTTTGAATCTCTTCACGCTGACTTAGGAAAGGAGAGTGCTCTAAAGGAAGATCTTGCACGCCAAGCCTCCACAATTGAAGTTCAGAAGGTGCAGCTCGCACAAGCTGAAAAAGGAAATTTCTTTGTTGAAGACGGGGAGAGCTGTCTTTCGTAGCTGTGCTGGGGATGTCAAGGATATGCTGACCAATCTCCTTGGTGCTCATGATCCTATCCTTACTTTGACTATAAGGAATCACCTAATTTCAAAACTTCTTCCTGCCCTTGCATTGTTACACGAGATGAAGGGTGTTTCGGAGAGATTCATATCTCCAAAACAAGGGGAGAAGATGCTCAACCGAAGGTTATTGTGAAAACCGAAACCGAATTTGCCCAACCAAAAGTCAAAGTTACAACCGAACCGAAGGGTAATGAAGCTTCAGGTTCTGGTTCTCAAGCTAAGGGAATGATGATGATAGAGATGACGAAGAAGATGAGACTATTGCTGAGACCCTTAAACGAAAGAAGAGGGACAGAGATTTTGATGAAACCTTGAGAGTTGCAAGGGAGGCTGAGGAAAGGGAAAGGAGGAACCAAGAACGAAGAAAGCCTTAAACTGCAAGAAGGCCTTGTTTCCCCTCTGGACAAAAGAAACACTTATCAATGAGGCAATAGAGTTTCCAAGCGTCTACTGCTGAGACCCTTAAACGAAAGAAGAGGGACAGAGATTTTGATGAAACCTTGAGAGTTGCAAGGGAGGCTGAGGAAAGGGAAAGGAGGAACAAGGAAGAAGAAGAAGCCTTAAACTGCAAGAAGGCCTTGTTTCCCCTCTGGACAAAAGAAACACTTATCAATGAGCAATAGAGTTTTCCAACGTCTACTGGCTGGAACTGTCGCTTCTTTTGATTGTGACAATTCTAAGGACTCACTTCGACATGCCGATAACACGAAAGGCATTCACGTTTCATTGTTTTGATTCGACTGTTGAAGTTCCTTTCCCTCATCCAAAAGTTGATCGTGAGCTTATCGACTTTTATCTGAAGTATGGTCGACCGCAGTACTTGACATGGTGCGCACAGAAGATAGTTACTGTCAAGGTACTAAAACCTTCGCCTGCTGGGAAGTTCATAAATGTTAATTTCAAAATCACACGAGGATCAGCAAACTCGGTGTCGATTATTTCCCTGGCAGATCTTCCCGAATTTAAATCCTCATGACTGGATCCATTGTTGTTTACATTCTGCTCACCAATCCGAAAGAATATGAGCCGATACTGGATCATTTGAAGAGGATGTTGGCCTCTTACATCCATGAGGTTGCTGCTATGGATCAGGAGAGCGAAAGATGAACAAGAACCGACTGTCAAGCCAACACCGAAACCAGGAGATGTGAACAAAATGAAGATGGGCCAAATCGATTCTACACATCTTACTGTGATGTTCACAAGAGGCGAAAACAATCGTTTTATGTTCGCTCTTGCTGATAAACATTTGTTCTCAACTGACTGCTTTGAGTACATTATCGATATTATCCATCGGTGCAAGCAGAATTCAGAAGAAGACAAGAAGAACTTCACGGACATGCTTTGGTGGTACATTACGTTTCGTCATCACCTATTGGCCATCATACCGAAGGTGTTCAAGACAATCAAGAAGTCTTCTACAGCTCAACCGAAGGGAGCTTTCGGCTCCATTGACGTAAAGGGGGAGATTGTTGAGTCTTGTTATGTTGCGTCATGGGCTTATGTTTTGTATCCGGATTGGGCATGTCCATCCGTGATTATCTAGTAGGGTTTTACTATAAATAATGCATGCATGTATGCATTAGAAAACAGTCGTGATTATCATTAATTATTGTTTTGTAACCCTAAGCACCTCTACAGTCGAAGTTCTTAATCGATCTCTTCTGAGGTGTTGAAGTTTTAATCATACGACATATTTAAAGCCATTCTTGTGTTCATAATTACGTTCTTAATTGTTTACCTACATAGAATCTATCGATCCTAATAGAACTTTGTTCTAACACAAGGTAACTTGTCCTCAAGTTGAAAGACCTCAAGTTCAAAGGCCCACAAAAATTAATGTTAACAAAAGGAGAGGAACAATAGGGGAAGAAATGGAGCAAAATCGGTTGGTGAAGGAACTAAATGAGGAATCAGTTGGTTAGGGAGATAAAGGAGTTTAGGGAGATAGAGGAGTAAGAACAGTTGGTGAAGGAAAGTAAACAAAGAGAAAGATGGTAAGGGTAAACGAAAACAATCTGATAGAATTATCAAGATGAAACTTGCTAAGAGGGTTAAGGGAAAGGATGGTAAAGGATATGATCATGCAAACCCAATGGACATTGAGTAGGATATGTCTTTATGTCTTTGATGTGTTTGTTATATTTGGATTTGATGTGCTTGTTATATTTAGACATTGAGTAGGATATGTCTTTGATGTGCTTGTTATATTTGGATTTGTAAGTTGATGTAGTCTTTATGTTTGGTGTGCAATGCTTTGGATTTGTTCAAGTTATTTTTGTTTGAGAGACATTTGTAATGTTTGTTTCTTTGAGAAACATTTGTATTATTTATGGTTTGTAATAGTTTATATGTTTTTATTTAATGAACATGCATGGTTAATGTTAGTTTATACTTTAAGGTAACATGTGGTCAATACTTTAATGGAACATATGGTCCTTCTACTTTACTATACACATGTGATCATTAAGCTTGTTATATAGCAACGTATTCTCAACATCCATAACCATACATGGTAAGCATCCATAACTATACATGGTAAACAAAATTACATAAGTATTCAGTGGATCGTTAAGACAATCACATTAAGGGTAAAATAGGAAAACATCCATGGTAAACACAATTACATAAGCATTCATGGTAAACATCCATGCTAACACAATTACATTACAACTTCTTCATAAAAAAAACCCCAATTAATTTTATTACACCTTATACATAATTAACCCCTAAAAGAAAACCCAAGTACAAATTAGGTACAACTTCAACTTAAACACTTGTGATTCCAACTTCTTCTTCGGCCTAATTAGTGAAGTTATAATCATAACTTCACTGTTGCACTTTACTTCATCTACCCAAGCTATAAATCTTGAACGGGCTCCCTGAAGTTGGTATTATGTGCCTCAATTTAGTAAATGTTACAGAAACTAGGGTTTAAATGTGAAAATGACAAAATACAGTTTACCTTGTTTGGACATGCGTAAAATGGCCTTCCTTGATTACTACTAGCCCTTGATGTTCGTATAATTGCAGAACTTCCACAACCACATTCCATATTTTTGATTTTCTTAAGTGACAGACGGCAGTTGATGAAGGAGAAAACAAAGTGAGATAGTGAAAGAAGCAAGTACACATCCTTTTTACAGATTTCAGTAGGCCGAAAAGACAAAAATACCCCCACCGTGCAAGGCACGTGGGGTTCACTAACACTACTGTTGCCTTTTTCTTCGTCCTTTGCAATACACTAATAACGGATTATCTGGAAGTCAAAACATTTGGACATATATGAAGAAGGAAAATTTTAGATACAAAATGTGTGATTTAAGTTTACATACAAAATGCCTGATTTCATCAGGTCTTTTTTCATTAATAATTTCAATATTGTCATTAACACGGGTCTTTTCCATTCATCTATATATCTTGCAAAAATAAATAAATAAATAAAAATAAATAAATACAGAGAAACCTGAATATAAAAACTAAGATATTATATATATATAATATATATATATATATATAGATATATATATATATATAATATAGATATATATATGCTTCATACTGTCCCACTAACAATTCATCCAAGCTTCATAACGAAGTGGAGCAGAACCACCATCATCGCGAGCAATCCCACCATCGTGCCACCCATGGCCAGACTAACAACTTGAAACTCCTTTTCATGGTCATCCGGTTTGTGTTGGAGACTGATGTGGTCGACCCTACAGACAATGAAGTCTTGACCTAGCTGCTCCTTCAAACGCTGCATCTCACTTTATTTCTCTGCAATTTTCTCGCCACAATCACAGAATATGGAATAGATGTCAGTCTCGTTGTGACACTCACGTGAATTTAAGGAGTCGGGGGAAGGTGGTGGAGCTGACATGGTGGATGATTAAGGGTTTCTTGTCGGATGTATGTTTGGCTTAAAATGGTAACGAGGTATTTGGTTTGTTTTGATTAAAACCCCACATGAGGTTATCGAGTATTAATATGCCCACCACAACCGATGATTACTTGGGCTCTAAGGGTGGTTGGGGGGGTTGTTGAAAGTAAATGCCTCTAATTAATCCATGCAGATGTGGCATTGAGTGGACTCAATAATGAATCTGTCTTGACTCATAAGCTTAGTTGGCACGAGGTGGGGTTACCTTCTAAAATAGGTAAAGGTACCTTTTAAAACGATAAAACATAACTTTGTTCCCTTAAAATGCAAAAAATAACCATGAGGTACCTTTTAAACCAATATATCAAACATAAATATTATTGGACTAAAGTCACAATAATCCAATAAAATAAAATATACATAAAATATACGGTATAAAATAGATAGAAGGAAAAAGCATGTTGGATTCCTCCGGTCTACACCTACAAAGGCAGTGTGCCCTTCCCCATATCTCCGCCATTCTCCGCCGCTATGACCGGTTCCTCCGTTTCCTCTCGCAAGGTATCTCCTCCTCCCTCTCTATGTATACATCTCTATTACTATTCGTATGTATACATACATATACCTTTGTCTATACGCCTTGATTAATTTTTCAAACACTTCGATTTCGATTGATTGCGTGTATATCTGTTGATTATCATCATCTTTTGAGTAGTTTGATGTCGATTGATTAGGTTCTAAGCAAAATTGCTACCAACAGACTTCAAAAAGAGCTGACGGAGTGGCAGATCAATCCTCCCTCTGGATTTACACACAAAGTCACCGACAATCTTCAACGGTTTCTCAAATTTTCATTCTCAAATTCTGTTTATTTCGTTCTGTCTATTTCCAATTTCACCGTTTTCCCCAATTACAATTTCTCAAAAAGAGATCAAAGAGAATACTGATCTCCCTCTTCTGAGATTAAATCACTTCAGTCCTTTCCAATCTAGGGTTTTCTGAAATTCAGATACTCCAAATTTTATGACGCCTCATACAATTCGTGAAAATTCTGAATGAATCGTAATATTTTTTTTTTATTTTTTTTTACATTCGTTGTTTACAGGTGGGTGATTGAAGTGTATGGAGCTCAAGGAACTATCTATGCTAATGAAAAATACCAACTCCAAGTTGATTTTCCCGAGAATTATCCCATGGAAGCACCTCAGGTGGATAAACATTAAACAATGAATTCAATTTCTATATTCTAAGTATCTTTATCATCAATTCATCATACCTTTTCAATTCTTGCTCATAATCTGTTTGATGAAATGACTCAGGTGATATTTTTGCATCCTGCTCCTCTTCATCCTCACATCTACAGCAATGGCCATATTTGTTTAGGTATGTAAACTTTCATAAGCTCTTCTTTTTCTATATTCTTGAAAAGTTTATATTTTTATTTTTGAATTATAAATATTTTTTTATCGGTTTATTTATTTTGTAGATATTCTATATGATTCATGGTCACCAGCCATGACTGTTGGTTCTATCTGCATCAGCATTCTGTCAATGCTTTCAAGTTCACCAGCCAAGGTTTCATTCTCTCTTAAAATTTATTTATTTATTATAATTTATTTCATGTTACTTTCATTTTTTTTTCTACTTTCAGTTTTTATTTTTCATATTAAGACATTGTACTTTGAAAATTTACTTAATTGGGTAGATTTTCTAAAGTAGAATGATTTAATTGGAATATTTTTGTTTTTTATTTAATGCTAAAAAGACAAAAGTCCAAAAAACCCTTCACTCATGACAATATTATTTTGTAATGTATAAATAGATTTGATTTTAAAACTTGCTAAATAAGGAAATATTACAATTTCCTTGAACATCTTGAAATAGAAAAATGATATGCTATAGTGAATTGTACTGAACGCCTGTTTCTTTTGTTTTTTCGAATGAACTATTTGACTGTGAGTAAATGACCATTTTACCCTTTCTATTCAAAAACAAATACAAACATTACCCAATTATCACGTCCCATTTGAAAAGAAACAAACACTGAATTTTCAAATTATGCTTTTGTATGTATACACAAAGTTTGTTTCTCTTTTACGTATAAACTCTCTGAATGTGAGTAAATGACTATTTTACCCTTCTGTTTAAAAAATTTACAAACAAACCTAATTAGCACACCCCCCAATGCAATATGGGGAAATCCTAAGTCATTCTTTCAAATTACATTATACGATGTATACGCAAAGTTTGTTTAACATGAGTAAATGACCATTTTACCCTTGTGGTTGCAGGAACGCCCTGAAGATAATGATCGCTATGTGAAGAACTGTAGAAATGGTAGATCTCCTAAAGAGACTAGATGGTGGTTCCATGATGATAAAGTTTAAAAAAAGAAAATGAAATTGCTTTTTATTTAAGCATTAAAAAATGGAGAACAAACAATGTGCAACTCGCAAGTCTCATATTTGTATAAAAAAGAGCAAATTTTCTTGTTTGTTTGCTCAAAAAATTGTAAGGATTTGAATGAATTATGTTTCTTAAACGGTTTATATATCTAACTCTTCAATACAACAAACCAAGTATCTTATCAATTTGTTGTTCAAATATTGTCTTAAATGATGACTTTAGTTTGATTTGGTTCACATATGATAAAAAAAAATTGACTTTTTTTTTTATAATTGTAACATAATTTACTCTCATTACCGATATTCACAACCTTTTTTTTAATAACATACTTACATTATGTTACGAATATATTTGCTATTATGTGTTGTATGTTGTTATTATCAGTAAAAAAATAAAAAAAAATAAAACAATTAAAAAAAACATTAATATATGTTATGGGTTATGTGTTGTATGTTGTTATTATCAGTAAAAAAAAATAAAAAAAAAACATTAATATATGTTGTTATGGATTAGGAAATGAAAGTAGATTGCTATTATGGGAAAAAATAAAGTATGTTGCCTATATTAGTAAAAAGAATAAAGTTTGTTGCTATTTCTTGCTACTTACCATTTATATATATAATATTTGCGTAAATGTTGTGTATATGATGTTTTGAATGGTTTATCCTTGTTTTGGTTGGAAAAATATTAGTTTGAATAAATACATATATAAAAATAATTAATATATTGAGAATGAGATTTAGTTGGATGTTATAGAGGTTGAAAGTGTGTAAGTTATTATGATCATTGGCAACGAGGAAACATTATTTGTTTGTGAAAAGCGTATATAGAGAGAGAAAGATAAGGACCAATTTTGTAAAAGGTGGAAGTTATGTGTCAAATATGTAAAAAGAGAATGTGAAGTCAGTATACTATATTTATATTCATGTTACAAATATATTTCCCCAATAACTAAACTATTTTCAAATTTCTTCGATAACTAAACTATTATCGCACCATGAGAGTTTATTTCCTTGATAACTAAACTATCTCAAATGAGAGTTTATTTTTGAGCTTATTAGTATTTGTTTTATGTTTTTTTATCACTTGTTACTGTTGAAGCTAAGTGTATTTTTTTGTTTTTTTATATCGACCATTCAATAAATATTAAGCAGTCAATATACTTTTATCTTTAGTATGTTTAACCTCTTCGTCTTCTAATCATATTTCTTTTTACCCTTAATTATATTCTAGTTTTAAATAATTTTAATTTATTTACTAATTAATTATTTCTATCAAATATTTAATTATTTCTATCAAATATTTAATGACATATTACATAAGAAATATAAATTTATAACGATTATATAATATTTTCAATTTTTTTAACTATGTAGTATTAGTTTTTTTTTTGTATTTTACATTTATAAAATAAAAACCCGGTATATAATTATTTCCATTTCCATTTGTTTGTGGCATTCAAAGTCTATAAAATATAAGGTGTGTTTAAAAAGCAACTAATAAATGGAGGGGATTTTATAAAACATTTTAATTAGATAACGATAGATTATGTAAAATTAAAGAAAAACTATTGAGAGAAGTTAACTATTGGAGAGGTCATTTAATTATAGGTTAAAGCTAATGAAATGATGATGTGACAATAATTTTAAGTGATAGTATATGTTAACCTTTGAAGATGTTCATGGGAGGTTTTTAAAAGCTTATTACTATTAACTTTTTATATTAACCACTCAAAACTATTTGAGTAAACAACTTTTTGCTTTTTATATATTGAGTGGTCAATATACTATCATATTTGTACAATTAACTCCCTTCTACTTTAAACATATTTCGTTTTATAATTATTAGATAATATTTTCAATATTTTTATTTTATTTTTATAACTAAAACATAACAATTTTTCATATTTTATGTATATAAATAAAAACATGATATACTTGTATTTTCTATTTTCATATTAAGATATGATTTGTGCTTAAAAATGATTAATTAAACAAGAGGTTTATAAAATATTTTAGATAAATAAGCTTAACCATTGGGGATACCATTTATTTATAAGTCAAAATTAAATGTATGATGATGTGACAATAACTTTAAATCATAGCATATCTTAACCATTGGAGATGCTCTTAGTGACAGTGATACATAACTTTAAACCATAGCATATCTTAACCATTGGAGATGCTCTTAGTGACAGTGATACATATATACGTTAAAATGCGTTTTAGGGACAATCAAGAAAGTACAAAAAAGTCTAATGACTAATTGTTATCAATCACAATGTGATTTCTCCTTTTCTTGATAGTTTATAAAAGTGAAAAAACCTAAAAGGTTAATATTATATTTTTGATGAACCATTTAAACTGTTCAAATGGCACCAGTGAAGTGAAGTGAAAAATGGTTATAAAAAATGAGTTCCTGTCAAAACGCATTGACGACCTTCTATGATCTGTTGAACAGGTAAACTGAAGAGCTAATGTCATAAAGAGATAAGAAACTATTTAAATTGCTAAAATTGAACAACACAATGACCAATTTAAACAACATTCACAACCACCGATCATCACCTTTCACCACCACCATTGTCCATCACTAGGGATGTTCATTTGGATGGATCAATCCGATCTGATCAAGTCAAGTGAATCCAAATTGATTTCGGTTTTTAAAACATAAATCTAAATAGTCCAAACTAAATTCAAATCTGATCCGATCCAATCAAATTACAATTCGGTTGGATCAATTTTTATAATTCGTTTTCAAAAATTGGAATATTTTTTTAAAACCACATATAATTAGAATATTACCCAACTCTATAAAGAAACAAACAAATAACTTAGTTGTGGTTTAAAGTTTATAAACAACTACTAAAAAAATACATTAAACGTTAATATTTTATAGTCATTTTTTTTTGAAAGAAAATACATAATAAGGTTTTTTATTAAGTGAAACTTTTTAAATCTACTTGAAAATAATAATAATAATAATAATAATAATAATAATAATAATAATAATAATAATAATAAATAATTATAGATATATATAAAAAATTAAATAAATAATAAATTGTTATTCGGTTTTTTTAGAGTATTCGGTTCTTATTTTACAAACCAAAACCAATCCGAAATCCAAAGTAATAATTCAGTACTATAGAAAACAGATCAAAAAATCTGAATATCCGAAACAAATAGTCATCCAAATTATCCAATTGGACAATTCAGTTTTATCCAATTAATAAACAACACTACCCATCATCATTCATCACCACCAAATCTAAAAAAAGGAAATTTTCAACTTAGATGGACAATGTTCACCATATTATTATTAGAAAACGAGGATTGCTTTGATTTTGAGAAGTGATTCGTACACAACAATTTTTTACATACACAACAAATTATGTTTTATACAGTTGTACAATACAATACTTTATATAACAACCCGTTTTTTTTCAAGTCAATAAAAGACAAACCCTTTAAATAAAATTCGAGTTTTGTTGATTTTGTTAAGATCATAAGGGTTAAATATGATTTAAATTATATAAATGATGTTTCTATATAAGTATTTTTATGTTTGGAATAAAATGCACTTAAAATTCAAAAAATTTCCCTTTGGAACTGAGAACTTTCATACCGAAAACCCTTTTCGGCCGAAAACCCTCGGACCACAAACCCCACCGACCGAAAACTCCCCTCGGACCGGAAACCCTCTCGATATATATATTTTCACCCGAAAATATAAGTCATTTCTCACTTTTTAAACCGAAAACACACTCATTTTGCTCTCAAGTATCATCCAAGAATCTTCAAATCTTCAAGCAAAATCCTTCAAATCTTCATAATTTCACCAAGAACACCAAGAACAATCTTCAAATCTTCAAGCTTATCGAAAACCACCTGGACTAAGAACTCACTCAGACCGAGAACCCCCTTAAGAACGAGAACTTGGTTCTCGGTTGAGGTTTTAAGACCGAAATCAAGGGATTTTGGTGAGGAGTAGACCGAAAACGCCTAACAACACTCCAAATAATTCTCGGTAATTTTTGTAAGTATTCCTTACATAAATTAAGTGTTGTCTAACACTTTAATTAATTATTTTGCTAATTTAAATACGATTACGTGTTTAAATATTATTAGGATACTGTTATTTCCACATACGCTAGCTCGGGGATCATCTCTGTTGTTTCGCTACCTGAACAGGAACATGCACTAGAGGTGAGTTCACACCCCTACGTTGTCACTATTTTTCAATGTTTTTAGGGGGGGGGGGGGATACAAGTAAAACACAAGGACTCTTGTGTTAGCATTCAAACGATTTTCAAACCGTTTCAAACCATTTGCAATTGTTTCAAACCGATTTATCGCTGCAATTATCAAAATATTATATATTTTTAACCCTTTTGTAGCATGTCGAGCAAAAGGGTATTTTTCATAAATCTCTCACTACCGCTTTATACACACTGTTAAATTGTAAATGCTTCAGTTCATTGCAGGGCATACATTTAAAGTATAATTGGTATAGTTTGTGAATCGCTACACTATTTTGCTAAAGTTCAATAAACGATACAAGAACATACATTTAAACTATAGTAGGTATAGTTTGGGAAACACTACACTATTTTACAAGCTCAAGAACACTATACAGAAACAAGTATATAAACTATAATTAGTATAGTTTATGGAACACTACTCTATTACACTAATTCAAGGATACACTACTAAAATAATTATTTAAATATAATTATTTTACATTACAAAGTACACTACTACAAGGCAATACATACAAATTCAAGTACAAGAGAACACTACTACACTACACATAAACTAGTTAATACAGGCTTGTGAGATACTACTTCGTTGTACCCATCAGGGTACAGGTCCAAGTCCTATAAATTATAACCAGAGTCTCCTGGAGGGAGAGCGTGAATTTGTGTATAGATCTATACGGGACTGACAATCCCGCACCTGAGCTGCTTGCAACAACTAGGCCGACAGACATGGGGTGACAAATGTGTCATAACATCTGACGCCTGAAGAACGTCTTAGAGGCCACTAGGTCATATCAGCATGGTTATATGAAACTCACAATAGTATCAACTAAAACATTTGTTTATGGGATTAACAGTACTTCAAAAGTTTTATTTTAAATAATAAAACTACCGTACACTATTTT